TGATATCCTAAGATATTGTATGATATCCTAAGATACCGTATGATATCCTAAGATATTGTATGATATCCTAAGATACTGTATGATATCCTAAGATATTGATATCCTAAGATACTGTATGATATCCTAAGATACTGTATGATATCCTAAGATACTGTATGATATCCTAAGATACTGTATGATATCCTAAGATACTGTATGATATCTAAGATACTGCATGATATCCTAAGATACTGTATGATATCCTAAGATACTGCATGATATCCTAAAATACTGTATGATATCCTAAGATACTGTATGATATCCTAAGATACTGTACGATATCCTAAGATACTGTACGATATCCTAAGATACTGTATGATATTCTAAGATACTGTATGATATCCTAAGATACTGTATGATATCCTAAGATATTGTATGATATCCTAAGATACCGTATGATATCCTAAGATATTGTATGATATTTTAAGATACTGTATGATATCCTAAGATATTGATATCCTAAGATACTGTATGATATCCTAAGATACTGTATGATATCCTAATATAAATTCTAAAAGGTGGTGGTCTATTACTAAAAGTCTTTGGGGGTCAACTGATGTTTCCCTAGTGCCTACAATAATAGAAAACGATGTTCCGGTGGTTGACTCTGGGGAAAAGGCGAGCATTTTTAATGACTATTTTGTAGCGCAGGGTCGGCTCCCTGGGGCGGACTTCTGCGCGGGAGTTTTTTACTATTTCAGTGGAAGAGGAAGAAATTTTCAGATTAATGCAAAATGTTGATGTTACTAAGGCGAGTGGATGTGATGGTTTTGGAAACAGAATAATTAAACTGTGCGCAGAAGGCTTGTGTCCATCTTTTACTACACTAATAAATCGGACATTTGTGTTAGGAAAATACCCTTCCCAATGGAAATTGGCCAATGTTATTCCATTATATAAAAAAGAAAATCGACACTTTAAAACCAATTACCGTCCAGTTTCACTTTTACCTTGTTTATCAAAATTATGTGAAAAAGTTGCCTTTAAAAGACTATATGACTACTTGATAGAAATCGGCTTTCTTTATCGTTATCAATCCGGATTCAGACCTGGAGATTCGACAGTAAATCAATTGTTGTATATAGTTCATCAGATTTATCTCGCCTTTGAGCAAGGAAAAGAAGTAAGAGTTGTGTATTTAGATATAAGTAAGGCGTTTGACCGTGTGTGGCATCGCGGATTGTTAAAAAAACTGGAATCGCTTGGTATTTGTGGTTCTTTGCTGCATTGGTTTGAAAGCTATTTGCAGGATAGAATGCAACGTGTCGTTCTCGAGGGTCAATCATCGGAATGGAAAAAATTATATTCGGGTGTACCTCAAGGTTCAGTACTAGGGCCACTTTTGTTCTTAATATATGTCAATGATATTACAGATGATCTTGAATAAAAGCCTTTTGTTTATGCTGATGCTACCACGCTATATGAGGTCGTAGATGATCCTGTTGAATCAGCTGAAAATCTTAATAACGATTTAGCTAAGATTTCTGAGTGGTCAGATAAGTGGTTGGTTACTATGAACCCCTCAAAAACTAGATCCATGTTATTTTCATTGAAAAGAGATAAAATAGATCATCCGAAACTTACATTGAGAGGTGTGGATATTGAAGAAGTTAGTAGTCTCATAGACATCTGGGTCTTACATTTCAAAACAATATGTCTTGGAATAAGCATGTGTTGGAAATTTATGAAAAAGCCTCTAAACGATTAAATGTGATGAAATCATTCAAATTCCATCTAGATAGGTCTACTCTTAGATGTTTGTATACAAGTTTGATACGACTACAAATGAAATATGCTGATATTGTTTGGGATAATTGTACATCAGAAAATAGTGATTTACTCGAAAGCGTTCAATACGATGCTGCTAAAATTATTACAGGTGCAATTAAAGGCACCAGTGCTCGGAAATTACGTGGGGAACTGGCCGGGGTAAAGCTGAAAACTAGAAGAAAAATTCATAAAATAATATTCTTCTATAAGTCTGTAAATAGAATGACTCCAGCATATATTAGTGATTTGGTGCCATTGAGAGTAGGTGAGAGATCGAATTTTCGTTTGAGGTCAGCTACTGAATTTTCAAATTTTCAGTGTAGAACGGAAATGTTTAAAACATCTTTCTTTCCTTCAGTTATAAATTTATGGAATAACCTGTCTTTAGATATAAGACAGTTAGATTCATTATTTGTCTTTAAACATACATTAAATAATTTATTGCATCCTTTAAAGTACAACCGTTTCTTTGATTCCTCACTAAGCAGACGAGCTTCTATTTTACATGCTAGGTTACGTTTAGGTTGTTGTGCTCTTAATGATTATTTATTTTTTATTAATTGTGCAGTTTTTCCTATTTGTGCATGTAAACAAGGAACAGAAACTGTAAAACATTATCTACTTGAATGTGCCCGTTATGCTACTCAGCGTGCGACTTTGCTTACCTCTGCTGCTCAGCTTTTTGGTCAATCGTGGTTGCGGTGCAGCGACACTGTAAAGTTAAACTGTGTTTTAAATGGATCTGAAGTTTTGAGTTATGAAGAAAATTGTGTATTGTTTTCAATAGTTCAACAATTTATTTTAAACACATGTCGTTTTGCCGCATCCGCCTTTGATGTTTAATATTTCTATATTAATATCTTATTTTGTCTGGGTGTGTGTACCATTTGTGTGTTGTGTGTTAAAATGTTATATATGTATAGATGTAAGCCCCCTCGATAAGCAGTTTGTTTTTGGGGTAAACATCAAATAATAAATTTTAAATAAAAAAAAAAATATCCTAAGATATTGATATCCTAAGGTATTGATATCCTAAGATACTGATATCCTAAGATACTGATATCCTAAGATATTGGTATCCTAAGATATTGATACCCTAAGATATTGATATCCTAAGATATTGATATCCTAAGATACTGATATCCTAAGATACTGATATCCTAAGATATTGATATCCTAAGATACTGATATCCTGAGATATTGATATCCTAAGATACTATTTTCGTTAATATATAAATATGTTATTTCCAACTAGATCTTCATTCCGTCGCTGACCGCCGAACAGAGATGACTAGCAGTTATATCAAACACAGACCGTTTGTGGAGCTCTTGTGTATTTCTCATCCGATTCAACCGCAAGCTTTGTTGAATTCAGCATCTCATGAACAGATTTGCTTTCTATGTAATTGCTTGGAAAACTTTACATATCCTAAAGGAACATTGAACAAACTTGGACCGTTTAAAGATGACCTCGCTGACTTGGCGGACAGCAGTAGGAGTTTTAGAAAGAAGAGGAAAATTCTTGTTCAGCGCGGGAGTGGTTTTCTAGGATTGGTACTTGCGCCACTTTTAGAGGGGCTTGCAGAATTAGTATAAAACAATCATTATTAATTCACATTGTCATCACAGTTCCAACCATGGACAGCAAGGAAAGATCATTTCCGAGACATTGGCGCGTTGAAGATATACTTGGACACTTAAACGATAATGTTGATAAAAACAATGCTGAAGAACTTCTTCACTGCATTCTCACATCCACGGATATTCTCACATGGAATATTCAAGGGGAAATTGTATACAAAGGACAGAATATACGTGGAACAAATATTGTGGATCTTTTCAATATACTGTTTTACCATATAATACGTGTCCTTACAATGCTAGCCCACAAGTATCCACTACATGATGTGGATACACAGTCTGATAAATCTGAAGATGAGTCTGAAGACGTGGACACAACTTGTATCAGTTGTAACAAAGATTTACACATCTCCCATTTGGATACATGCCCTGTATGCGCATGGACAGATTTTTATCCCAATTGTACAAGGTGTCACTGTATGATCTGTGATTTTCGACTGTCCGAAGGAAATGTCACTCATGTAATCGCCAGTTGTTCATATTGTCATTGTGATGAAATTACAGATGTTAGCACTGATAAAAGACATTTTTTTGAGCATAAAATAGACGAATAAAGTGATATTTGTTCAGTTGACTGCGTGAAGTTGAACTGAACGCATCAATATGCCAAGGGGTAAACTTGTTGTAGACGAAAAACTATTCAAAGACCATTTCTTGAGACAACAACGTGGCGGAAACATCGCTGGATTTCGTGGTGTACGTATGCAAAGGGTTATGGGATCGGAGGTATTTTCAAGAGCCTTGCGAGATATGCTACCCCTCTATTCAAACAAGGTGCTAAAGTTGTTGGCAAAAGAGCATTGCAAGCAGCCACAGAAGTTGGTCAGGATATACTCCAAGGAAAAAACGTCCGAGAATCTGTAAAGACTCACGGAGGTGACGTTGTTAAAGACTTTGCTGAGCAAGGAGCAAGGAGCAAGGACTCTTCTGCGTCAAACTGGGCATGGACGCAAGAGAAGGCTAAGTCAATGCAGTAATTTATAAACTACAAAGAGGTTAAAACTGTGTTCTCATATAACAGTTCCAAGACATATCAAATGGATTACGGAAGATGAAAGCAGCCACGATGATGAAAGCAGCTATGATGAAGAATCTGATAGCGAAACCCCTGAAACAAGTGACTATATACATTAGAAGCATAACTTTGTAAAACGTTTTGAAGAAATAAATGTATTTAAAAACTAAAATATTGTGTAAATTTTTGCCGGCAAAGCTCGCTCTTTCCGATTTGTCTAACCCGCCCGCCTGTTTAGTGTACAAATATGTTGTACTTTAATATATGCATGCACCCGCAAAGCCACGTGCATGATTTTAAGGCATACACCTGCGTTATAAATAATCCCTATCTATCCATTAGGATACACTCAGTTATGCAAATTCGTATTGCCTTAATCCCCTTAATTACCTACACGCCTCCTAATGACTTAGCAACACATAACAACGCAACATTTGCAAAGTTTAAAACATGTTTATTGATACAAATAACAGACGATAGTGTCAAAAATATTACAACTAAAACTATTTGTTAAACTGTTCTATAAGTTTTTTCTCCATGAGTTCTTGATAAGCTTTCTTATGATCTGCCTCAAAACTTCTAAATCGTTCACCCGTCGCATTCACAGAATACATGTAACTCGGTGGGTAAGAGAAAAACGCTTCAGCTACGGACTCGAGTGGGTCTTCTAATCTCCAATGAAACAAATAGTTCAGTATACATTGTAGTTCGTGGTTCTCAGTCCTGATGTAGTTCCATCAATGAATGGACAAACGTAGAATCTGGATCTTTTTCCAGTTGCTGTAAATGTTCGAGTACATATCTGTCAACCGCCAGTTTTAGTACCCTCATTGCCTCAGCGAATTCATTCCAAACCATACGCTTACCATTCACTCGTTCGATCGCTTGTAAACCAAACATTTGCCATCGTTCGTTTTCGTTCATCATGAGGCAGTCATGTTGTCTTTGACTAGGATGACCGACTTGACAACCATTACAGGATTCCACACAAAGTCTTTCAACTTCTTGTGCGACTGCATTCGCAAAAATTCCTTCCAATAAATTGTAAGATGTGGTTTTACCGTGTAGACACGCCATGACTGATGTGGAACAAATACAGAACTATGCCTGCTACAAGACGCTTGTCGATTTTATACAGACACTTGTATAAAAGTTCATAGCCGGCAAACCAAGATTAATCCCTCTATTGTATCATACACGTGGGGGGACGCTAAAAAATGCGTAGTCAGCAAGTTTCGCCCGATCGTGTTTAAGCTCGCCCGCGTGACGTCATTGCACATAATTATGCGTATGTTAATGAGTGACGTCATTACTCCTCCTCACTTCTCCTCCTCACTCCACCACCTCCACCACCTCCACCACACTCCTCCTACTCCACCACACTCCACCACCTCCACCGCCGCAAAAATAAGGGTCGAACGGTACCTATATTACTACTGGCTTGATTTGCAGCGGGCGGGATTTTGGCGGAATCCTCCCCCGGAGCCCGCCAAAATCCTGCCCGCTGCAAATCAGGCCCCCCATAAATTTGAGGGCCTGCCACGCAGGCTAATTCAAGTGTACAAACATTTTTGTTTCTCGAGTCACTAGAATTAAACCGATCGTTGAAATTTTTAGGCAAACAACAAGTCACAACGTGTTCCTTACCTATAAAAAATAATTTAAACAAATATTGAAATGTTTAAGAAAAAGTTTTTTAGTATGATTTCGGATATTGAAAAGTTGCATATAAAGTTTTGTAAACGTATTCTGGGAGTCCATTCCAAATCTACCAATTTATAGCAGTAATTGCTGAACTAGGAAGATACCCAATGATTATCCAGGTTTCCAGCTTAACCATCAAGTATTGGTTAAGAATAAATAGTCCAATGTATGAAAGCCAGTTTGGTAAAGCAG